AAATATCCCGTAAGAGCAACTGTTCCCTTTACATAGAACTGCCTGAGCTCCAAGCATCATTACTGGTTGGGTTTTCTAGATATTGTAATATTGTGAAGGGAGTAGCCTGTGAACGAAGATGAGCCCCCATCCTTTCTCTGGCTCTCATTAAAAAATAACGAGTACGCATCTCCACCAGGAAACCAAAGATCTCAGAGAGAGAAACACCCTTGAGCCATCTGGGATGCATAGAAGCTCTAAGTCTATTTTCCCTACATCTCACATTACTCCATGGATAATTAAAGGAAGTTCTAAAATCTATATTTAATCTTACTACCATGTAAAAAGTGAGATACAGAATATAGAGTAGGACCTGCACATTACAGTTGAACAGAACTTGAGTTCATATCCAGGTTTAATTGCTCACTACCTGTATATGCGGGGCAAATTGCTTAAATCATTTTGGACCTCAGTTTCCTCTGCTGAAAAATGGAAACAAGGATGCTGTTTCCTGTAATTGTTAGTAAAATTGTATGTAAATTATAAAGAACTTCACAAGTGTGAGTAGAGGGAGAGCAAACAATGATGTGTGTCCTCTAAATATGTAAACTATGTATACAAGTAGTTATTTATAAAGCACTATATATAGTCCTAGCAAATAGTAAGTGATCAAATAGAAACTATTGTTTAAAAACTATTTCAAAGTAATTACTTAATGTCATAATTTTGATTTAACAAATATTAATAATGATGTGCCATGATAATCTGTCCAGTCATAAAAATGGTTACAACTTTTGACTGAAGAGATAATGTAGAAAATGCCAAGTAAAACTTCTTTTTCTCTTAATTTCTGATTGCTTTACATTTGTATAGTTTCATGTATTGAAAGAGGACTATTTCTTTTCCTAACTGGCCTGTTTCCAATTATACTTAGACACCTTTCATAAATTCTACTTTTACAAAACTTTCAAATTATCTGATGGGTTTTCAGAATATGTAATAAGAGAGAGGGAAAGCAAAGAGCTTAAAATCTCTTAGAACAGTCACCCATATCACCTAACTGGGACTTACTGAAAAAAATGACTATTAAGATGCAGTCTTTAAACAAAAAAAAATAACACCAGAATTTTATGGAAAATCATGTTTAATGGGCCAAGTAAAAACACACTGAATGGGACTTTAAAACATATTTTACAATTTCAGAAACAGTCTGATGTATCAAATATAAATACATGTAGGTGAGCAAAAAGCACAAAATCATTTTTTGCCTTTTGTTGTCATTAGCAAAACATATCCTATATGCCTGTTCAGTTTGTCTATGATACTAAGTGCCCAGTTGAAGAACTGGACTCAAACACGTGTTCTGAAATACATTTTCTACATGGAAAAGAAGGAGCAAACTGTCTCTCACTTTGGCATAAACTTGTATTTACACTCTGGCAGAAAGGGAACAGGGCTGACGGCGGCACGGGATGTCAGTGGAGCTCGCTGGTCTCTGGTCCGCCTTCCTGTGAACACTGTTGGAAAGCTGATGGCAGGAGCCTTTTCTCAGCAGAGCAAACTCCCGGGCTGATGGGCCTCAAGGGCGGGCTGGAGATGGTTTGGGGGATGGGAGCAGCCAAAGACGGGAAGAGAAGAAAAGCCAGAGGACCACCAGAACTGTGAGCAGAGAAACACGAGGGCCGGAAGGAGCGAGCCCAGGCAGGAGCCGACGGAAGAGGGTGATTGAGTCTGTCAAGGAAGGTCTCGTGGCTTTATTCATGGATCATGCCAATAGGTTGCAAGAGTTAAAGAGGTGAGGGAATGGAGAAAAGCAGGAGAGAGCACTTACTTAGAGGCTCTGGATAGAAAATGAAGGAGAAAAATATGACAGTGATTGAAAGTCATGCCAGGGTCAAGACAAGGTGTCATTGTTGTGTTGTTTTTCTAAGCAAAGGCAGACAAGTGGTCTGGAGATGAAAGAGGAGCTGATGGGAATGGAAAGACTGAAAGGGTCAAATACCCGAGAAGAGTCCTTCTTGTTGAGATGACCTGGGCCGGTGGCAGAATTTCTGGTCAGTGAAGGTTAACGCAGTTTCAGAGCTAAGGGATTTTTGGGGGAGGAAATGTTTCCGGAGAGATTTCATGGCAGAACTACAACCTGAACCTTTTTCTGTTGACTGTCAGTCCTGTGCTTTGTCCAGGAGACCAAACCCTCTCAGTGTCTTTGATCATGAGATCTTATCCCATAATTTTTAAAGTAACAGGAGTAGAAATAAAGATGACCAGCGATGTGGAGAACTGATGCACTGCAGACGAGAGAACGGAGAAATGACCGCAGAAAGGAGAGGTGAAGTGTGGCCGCCTCAGGAGAGATGAGCCGTGGAATCCCAGCTAGAGGGGGCCCGGGCTGCCCCATGCAGACTCAAGGGCTGTGGGCAGTGGATTGTGGTGAAGTGGTCAAGGTCTCAGGGGGATGAAAATTGGCCCACTGGGGAAATAAAACATTTTAGCAGAAAAGAAGTGTTTGTGTAGCAATAGAGATCTCTAGCATGAAGTAGTGTGTGCTGAGGTGTTTGGTGAAGAGCTGGCAGGATTTGCTGGGGACTGGCAGAGGTGAGGACTTGGAAGAACCAACATAGGTGACCAAGGGTGAAAATGAAGCCAAGGGTGGCGTTTTCCTCTGACTGGCTTTCTTTTGGGTGCATTTCTAGAACAATTCGTGAAGCCAATTCTAATGCTCAAAATTGATAAGTTCCTTAGGTAAGTGATGAAATGACAATGTGCTTTTTAATATTATGTTTTGGGTTGGTTCTGTTAAAATCTTGATGAGCCTATGAAGTAAAATGATGAATCTTATGTTGGCTTTGTCTTAAGTATCTGTAAAATACTCATGGTGTGACCATTTCAGGCTATCTTAGAGTACATAGAATATTAGTTACGGCTATGTACATGCTATTCAGAGTCAGAGAGCTATTTAAATCTGGTACAACTTTGATATTCTAAAGTTATATTTGAAAAATCTCTAATTCTACATCACATTAGTGATAATTAGTCATAATGATACGTCCTTTAACTGGTGCCTCCCCCCTGCTTTTCTTATGGAAGTGTAAGACCTTTTTATGTTGGCATTATGAAATCAAATTGAAACTTCTCATGAAAACAGTCAACTGAAAATGCCTAGCTTTTCTTTTCCTTTTGATCAACAGTCAAGTAAGAAAACTGCTTTTGCACCGATTAATCAATATGCATTGACTGACTACTGCTCATGAAACATTTTACAGGTGATCCTCTCTGGATTTGTCTTCCTCGTGTCTCTATTAATGGTAATACTTTTTATTCACACAGTATTCAGCTTGCAAAGTGTTATCAAATACAGTATCTTATTGGACCCCTACAATGACCCTGCGAAGTGTGTCCAGATGTTATCACTCTCACTGTATAGATGAGGAAACAAAGGCAGAGAGATGCCCAGAATTCAGAGTTCATGACTAAAAGTCTAGATATTGAATCCAGGTCTTCATTGCCGTGAGGTTGCCTGCCTGCAAAATAATTTCCATTGACAACAGTTATACACAATGATTTTTGGCTAGTATATATTCCAATAAATTGATACTGTAGAAAGGGGCATTTGAGTTAGGAAAGGAAAATAAAAATTGCAAAGTGTCTTCCATATGTTATCAGTTGCCTTATGGAATTAATATCATGGTTTGAAATATGACCTAAAATAATATTACCTCTCTATGTCTTGATATCTAAGAAAAATCTCCATAGACATGGTATATTTTAGGTAGTAAACATACTAACATCTTTCTGGTTTCTAATAATGTACATTTATATCAGCTTTCCCCCAAAATAATGGGCTAAATGAATTTTTTTTTTTTTGGTATCACATAGCTCATCATTTTTAAATTCGCCCAGCTGCTGTTTATATTAGCAGGATGTCTTTCCCCCATCCTCTTCCATATCTGTAATAAAAAATCCTGGCATTTCCTTTCCCAGTGGAGAAGCTCTATGTGAGGCCTGGCTGTGCTGCCAGGCTCCCAGGCTTGTATGATTAAATAAGCGATTGCTCCTCTGCCCGTCTTTAAAAATGCGCCTCATATAAGGTAGTCAAGACACCATATCCATCACTGCAGAGGAAGCCAAGCATTTATTTAAAATAATGAGATATCCTCATTTTCATTTTTCCCTGGGAGGACTGTAGTGATGTTTAAAAATTCTCTGAATTCTAGAACTAGGGCAACACACTGATTTGACGGAAGCTCTAATCTAACCTTCTAATTTGAAGTGCACTTTTTCTGCAGTGAAATAGAGTGTAGCCTTCAAAATAGCGAGAGCCCTAAGCCCACACAAAGACATCCTCTCCTGACTACCCCTCTTTCAAGTCGGCCCCATTCTTCCGAGTGCAGGGGTTTATACAGGCCTTTTCTATAAATTTCAAGATATATTGAACTGAAAGGATAAAGGTTCAAATAATTTCTTCCAGATTTGGGAGGGGAATCATTTCAGTTGCCGAGTCATGATGAATATTATCTTGTGCTTTCCGCCACTTCCTCGCCACAAATGATCTGTTGGGCAAGTTCAGTTACGGGGTCTTTGAAAGGATTCATAATTAAATTTTTTAAAGGCACAAATCAGCTCTTTGTCTTTCTGAGGCGGAGGAGTCCGAATGCTTCCTTGTGTGATCATTCGGGGGTTTAGGCTGCCGTGGGTAGGGCTCCCTCCGCAGCCAAGCAGGCTTCCTTCGGAGAAAGGCTAGGAGAGAAAGCCAGCCCTCTGTAGATAGTGAGTTAGCACGCTGTGTAACACAATGGTCTATGAAATTCTTCCTTCAAGGGCCATTATCTAGTGTTAACAGTGCTTTATTTCTTCCTCTCCTGTGCTTATTTAGAGCCTAATTACATGAGCAAGAGAGAGAGAGGGAGGGGCCATCAAGATAACCGTTCTCCAAATTAATGCAGCCGAGTAGACACGCTGGCCTCTGGGGCTCCTTTATCGGTTCGTTCTGTTGTGGTCTGAATCCCTGTATTTCCCCACAGAATGAAGATTCTTTGACTTCACCTACACAGCGGCTCTGAAGAAAGTCACGTGAGATCAAAACATTTTTCAGGCAGGATGTCTTCCACCCTCCTCAATGCGCTGCACTTTGCTAGAAGCCGGCGTCTCCTCCAAGAGCATTTCGTAAGCGCGGGGAGTCAGCCCCTTCGCTTGCTCGCCTTTGGTTTTTCTGATTTTCTGTCTGCCTTTTATTCCTCTCTTTAAACCTGTTATAATTGGGTTTATTTTCTTTTCAACTGCTTTATCTTTTGGCACCGTGTTTTAAAGTGACTATGTGGATTTTAATGTTAAAAGCACTTTCGTAGTGCCATATGGTCTCGGTATTTAAAATTGTCTCTGAATAATAGAAATGCTGATAGTTAAAGGTAAAGCAGGAGAATTATCCTTATTCTCCAGAAAGCAAGTCAGTATCTCAAGAACTGTTGACCCCCAATATGTTGAAAAATGTGTCACAGTCCTGACTTAGTTTTCCCAACTAATTACAGTTTGGGGTTTTGTTTTTTTTCTTGAGGGGAGGAGTCAAAGGACTGTTTAAAACTATGCCCTATTCTCCATGTGGTCTTGAAAGAATCTGAACTAGCTCTTTTTTTTATTTAAAGATAAACCAAACTTTCTGTGTCTTTACATTTGTGGCTCATTCTTACTTGAATACTAATTACCAATTTTTGATCCTTTAAAAGTTGATTTACAAAAACTCAAAAACTTACCTGCTCAAATCCAGAAAATGAATGTGAAGAAATGAGGTCTTCTGAGGTGAAGTCTCATTGCACCACATTTTGAGCAAGTGATTTTTTTGCTGTCTTTTTGTTTCTCACTAGGAAAGTAGGTGTTAGGGATGGAATTGTGTCCCCCAAAAATGAAATGTTGAGGTCCTAACCCCCAGTACTTCAGGATTTGACCTTATTTGGAAATAGGGTCTCTACAGGGGCAATCAAGTTAAAATGAGGTCAGTAGGGTAGGCCCTAATCCAATATAACTGGTGTCCTTATAAAAAGGGACATTTGGACACAGAGGCACATGCAGGGAGAACACCATGTAAAGATGAAGGCAGAGATCTGGGAGACGCATCTGTGAGCCAGGAGCACCAAAGATTGCCAGCAAATCACCAGAAGCTGGGGGCGAGGCATGGGCCAGATTCTCCCTCCAAAGGAACCAACCTGCTGACATCTTCTCAGACTCCCAGGCTCCAAAACTGGGAAACAATGCTTTTATGTTGTTTAAGCGACCCAGTTTATGGTCCTTTGCTTCAGCAGCTCTAGAAAACAAATACAGTAGATGACTGTGTCTCTAGAGCCTGAGGGCACTGCGGCAGTGGGCAAAATGGCCCCGTCTGGAGAACAAGAGGCCTAGATGATCCAAAAGACAAGAAAGGAGCAGACGCAAAAGAAAAAAGAAAAAAAAAAAAGACACTCCTAATAAAGAATTACTCCCAAAGAGCTGTGAAAATAAAGGGAAACCTCCCTGAAAGGGAGTCAGGAGGCCAGCAGGCAGAGCTGCCATGCCCTATACCGCTGGCCAATTGCTGACCCAACGGGAAGAGACATACCTTGCAAGTCTATGCTACTTCAGCCACTACTTTGCTGACCCAAGGAAGAAAGGGTGTTCTTCTGCCCCAGCAACAGCCCAGCCAGTCAGAGACTGTCGCGATTTGGCCAATGAGAAGCCACAATGCTTTGAGCTCTCAGTTCATTCAATGGGCTTTTGTCTATAACCGTCCCACCCAACATTGCCATTACCTCTGTAAAAGAGCATTTGTATCCTTTGTTCTCTGGACTTGCCTGTGGTTTTGCCATAACTTGTTTGTCCTGAATTATATTCTTTACTATTCCCAAATGAACCCATTTTTGCTGTTTAAATAATTGACAGTTTTAGTTTCAAGGTTAACAGAGCCAAGCAAAGAAGCAAACCCAGTTAAAGACCCAACGACTGAACTGGAGACAACAAGGCATTCTGTGCTCACCTCCAATGTCACCCCTCAGAGAATGGTCACTTTCCCTACAGTAGCCTCTCTCTCCCCTCCCACCTCTGTTCAGTCTCTATCCCACTATCCCACTTTATTTACATCATGACACTTATCACTACCTGAAATTATTTTTGCATTCATTTATCATGCATTTATTTTCTGCCCTCCTTTCCTAGAAAATAAGTTCCCATCTATCTTCCCGGCTTGTAGAATATCTAACAGATGTTCAGAACATCTCTGATGAACAAATGAAGTAGATTTGAAAATCCAAGGGAAATCAGAACTTGGAGATATCATAGCCCTTAAGACACCAGCCTGTGGAAGAGGCCCCTGTAGCTTTGGCCGTGGGTGGAGGGCAGCTGGAATGGTTGCCACTGATGGACCGTAATGGGGAAGGATGTGAACTTGCCACCCCAAACTGTACACAATTCACCCAGGAGACACTACCCCCTTGCTCCTAGGACTTCCCTCTAGCCATACAAGAAAAGAATTTTGCAAATTTGTGCGCTTTTCTTTTTAATACATTACTCAAAAGACAATCCACCATGCAATTTCTAGGAGAAACATGTGCCTTTTAAATTGAAAATCCTGCCCCGTTAACTTCCTGAAAGGTGAAGGTAGATAGTAACTGAAGGGTTCTGTGAATGAGGAACTCTTTGATACAGTATGGCCCCTGGGGGAGAAATCTTTCAAGTGTTCTAGTTGAACGTTTCTGTTTGGCAGGATCTGTAGTTAATGGATGACAAGTTGGTGTGTCATCAGTGTCTGTGCTTGTGGTAGGACTGCTAAAAGGAATGACAAATGTTCTATGTGCAACTTTCTATTTTACTGATACATTAATGTGTCTGTAAAATATGATTTTTTTTTCATCTTGTAAAACTATAAGAAACCTCCAGAGGATTCTGCCCTGTGACACCTCAGCTCCTTCCCCAGAACTTTGCAGCTGACTTAACTTTCTTTGCTTTTTAATGTAACTTTAGCTTTGAGTTTTCCAAAAAGAATACAATTCTTTGGCAGGAAAATCCATACAGTGTAGTCACTACACCAAAAAACTGACAGCCATCCTGTATTTTGTGAAGACTTGATTAATATATGTGCCCCGAATCCCGGATGGTGAGCTGATGAACTGCCGTAATCCCTTCATCCCAGTAGAACCTGTTCTTTGTATCGTAAACACCAGCTGCCCTGGCAGCGCCCTTTCCCCAGGAGCTCAAAGGATTGGCGATGATCATTAATACCCATAATGTATGTGGAGATAAAATAGGTATTTTTGCCGTTCTTTTGTTCTTAAGGGCACTGATGCACAGAAAGCCACATAGCGAATCAGGAGCACTCAGGGAGCAAATGGAGACATCGGCCCATTAGCAACCACTTCTGCCAACACATATGAAATTGCTCTTTAGAATTAAATTTATCATGCTACTCTCTCTTGTCTTTTCTTATATTACTATTTCTGGTCCAGAGGCATATTTCTGTACTTGTTTGGCCACCTGAGAAATCTGTATTGTCAGCAGAAAGTAGATTTTTAGCACCCCTTGCTGGAGGTCCGCATAATCCTTGGCCTCTCTTCAGATGCTAGACTAGTTCCTTTTCCAAATCCAAATCCTCTGTTTTGGTGGTCACTAGTGACTAAGATGTGCAACTACACCTATCTTTCTTCTCATGTGAAAAAAAAGTCAACAGTGATTCCAGTGTGTGTGTGTGTGTGTGTGTGCGTGTGTGTGTTTCTGGACTTCAGAGAAGGGAACTACAAGGTGTTTCTGAACCTCTTCAACAGCTGCCACTCTCCCAGCAACTTCAAGGTTTAAGGGGCTCTTTGCAAATCACCATGTTTTGATGATCAAGGATGCCCAGTATGGTGTAGTATTATGGTGTGTAGCAAACCAGAATAAACTAGAATAAAAACTAAAGCAACAGACACACATCTAAGAAAGTAAACATTTGGACCACCGGGAGAAGAGCAGCCTGAGGTGCACCCTGCCACCCTGGGCTTTCCCACGCAAGATTTTACCTGTTGTCCTAACAGGCCTTAGAAAGCTGGGGATGAACACTGACCTAGTGACTCACTAGCTGTGTGATTTTGAGCAAGCTCTTTAATATCTCTGAGTTTCCATTCTCTCATCCATAAAGTAGAGAAAACACCTCTCTTATAACACTGTAAGGAACGGAACTCTATAAAATAATGGCATATAACACAGCACATAGCACAGGGCCCAGTGTATCATACGCATTTTTAAATAAGTCCGGCAATAGCAATGGTGAGAAGTAGCATGTTTGTTAGCTGTCTAGGAAAGAATGCTCATTCTTCTTTGAAAAGTGTTAATAAAGACGTAAACTTTATTCATGCTCTTACCATTTCTCTTGTATTTTTCCCTCTTTCTAAAATTCTTTCAAAATCTCCCAGACAATCTGCTTTATGGAGTCCCTTCCCCCAGAAAATCACACTGAAAGGGATCAGATGAAATAAGGTGTCCATCGATCCTTCTGGCGCGTAGAGCTGTGAGAGAGAGAAATCCTTGACACAGAAGAAGTAATTGCTATTGAAATCCGCGGACAGGTCTCAGGGGAGGTTAAAATCCTACCTTACAACCTTTAGATCGCAAAGACGGGCAACAGCTCCTCAGCTCAGACCAGTTTCTAAGCACCACTCGGCATCTGAGCCTTGCCTGTCTTCATAGCCCCCAAACCTCACCACCCCCACCCTGCTCCCCATCACCCTGTCTTCCTCCTTTACTCTACTATTTGCAGTCCTGGCACACACCATGCTCTCATTTTATGCCTTTGCATATGCTGTTCCTATGCCTGAACTGCCAGCCCTCCTCTAGATAATTCATGCTTGTCCTTGAAGTTCGAGCTTAGATAACTTTTCTGAACCTCTCTTGCATCCTCCCCAAGACAGCCTCCTTGTTTGACTCTGGGGTCCGACTCACGCTGCAGTCTATGGGAATGGCACCCTCTCGGGTGTACTGTGCAGAGCCTGCAGGTCTGGACCTGGTTCCCCCGCACGCTGGCCGCCAGCCCACAGTTCCTGTGCACTCCGGTAGCCTCCTGATGGGAACTCTAACCCCACTGCTTTCATCACGGACATGAAGTCTCTCCTCCTAGACCATGAGTTCTTTGAGAATAGTATGGTTTCTATTTCTGTTTTTCCCTTGAATATGCTCTTAATCCTCCACCAAGAGCTTGATCAGTGACTCCAGGAGAGATGGCGTGAGCCTCTTCCAACTTTCTGGTAGTCTTTTACAGCTTAGTAATAGGTGGTCCATGACTTAGTAGGAGTATGAAAGGCGACAGGAGCTGTGTGCTGACAATGGCAGATGGCGTGAGAATCAAACGCCAGGCGAGGACGCTGGTGGGGCGCCTCTGGTTCCTCGTACCAGCTGGGGACGCACATCCCGTGGAATTCAAGTGGAGCCGATGTCTGTATTTCCGAAGCAGAGAAGCCCTGTTCTGAACTCTCTTTCTGATTTCTCTCCCCATCTTTTGCTGACTCTTTGAAGTTCCAAAGCTTGCTGCACTTACATCCTTCTCTTTATCCTTAGAGCAGAAATTTCCTCCTGAAGGCCCAGGATACTGGGGCCTGTGTTTAGAGAATACTGCGTTTGGGTTAGACAAAGGCCTGACTGCGCCTAGAGTCAAGCCGCTTGAAGCCACTCTAATATTCATTTTGTTGGAATCATAATCACACTGAGTCATTGCTGGTCTCATACGGATCATATATTCACAGTCAGCTCTTGGCTTCAACACCAGGGTGTATATTATCTCTGCTGTTGCCTTTCCTGTCTTTTCATTTCATTATGAGTATTGTGCTTTCAATACTCATAGGATGATTTTCAATCTATAATCCCAGTTAAATTCTTTCAACACAGTCTGTACGTTTAAACACATACTTTCCTTTAAGGCAGACCTTGTGCTATTGATTGCCATCATCTGCTCTGTCTTCCAGGACAACTACACTTTGCTCTGAGAAGGAAGAGACAATTTTTTAACATGAACAGACTTTGTAACCTGGCCTGCATTTGTAACTGACTTGATATCAGCTAAGTTCTAGAAAGGATTAGTGCCCTGAAGGACAACTTTTTTATTTGGACACCAATTAAAGTGCTTGGTCACATCTCCATTGCGTTATGGTCCCCAAGCTCAATTCTCTCTCTTATTATTCTCTTGCTGTGTTTATTATAGACACGTGTAACTAAATGAGAAGAATTAAAAGGGGCCAGCATCATCTCATCCAGGGAACATAACTGAACTGTGGAAAACCGCAGAAAACCATACCATCTAGATCAACTCCAAATTAATGCCGCAGCTATCTGAGAGGACATGCGGGTGATGCTCTGAAGGCATGAGGGTCAGGGTATTCTCCACATGAAGCCTCAGAGAGAACTGAGGACTAGGAACAAACATTCCTGCCAGCCAAAGTGAGGGAAAAGTAGGGAATTACTTCTAAGTCAGAGCCACGAGAGACCATTTTAGCAGAGATTGTCCAGTGGTCAAGGCAGTTTCAAATACAGGGCTAGAGAAAGCAGAGATGTTGAGAAATGATTACTTCATCAGAATCAAGCAAGCAAAAACTCAGACCTGGAAAAATGGAACAGAGATAGGAGGCCGTGGGGAAGACTTTCCTGATTAAAAGAAGACTTTAGTGTCAGAAAGTGTTTAACCGCCAAGAAGGCCCCTTTGTGCAGAAGGGGAAACTTTAAATTACTCATGTTCAGTGTACGTCATATTCATCTAGAGTTTATAATCGATGTACTTGTTGACTGGGTATCAATATATAAATAAACAACTTCTATGCAGAAGAGAAGAAAGAGGATGGTTGTGTTGGGGAGTTTTCAGCACTGATGGAAATGAATGATTATGTTTATTTTAGTCATCCTGTTTATAAAGTCATCATTTATACCCTTATTGTGTTTAGTTGAGGATGTAAAATGATGAAATAAATCTGAAAGACAACTGTACTTTATTAATTTTGCAGAGTTAAGAGGAAGACTTATGAGGCATGGAAACTTCCATCAGGTTTGGAAGAACGTAGAGGGAATGCAGAGACGCCAGACTGCTGCTGAGACCCACGGACAGTTCCGCACTCATGCGTCTGTCGAACTTTACAATTTATTAGCACTATGCTGCCTCTGCAAGATGAAAAGAAATTAATGCCAAGAAGGCATATTCTTCAGCATTTGGAATAGACGTGCCCGCAAAACAATGGCTTCAAAGGTCTCCTGTCTGTATGTTTTGACAGTTGTGTGCTGGGCCAGCGCTCTCTGGTACCTGAGTGTAACTCGACCCACTTCTTCCTACACTGGCTCCAAGCCATTCAGCCACCTAACAGTTGCCAGGAAAAACTTCACATTTGGCAACATAAGAACCCGACCTATAAACCCACATTCTTTTGAATTTCTTATAAATGAACCTAACAAATGTGAGAAAAACATTCCTTTCCTTGTCATCCTCATCAGCACCACCCACAAAGAATTCGACGCCCGCCAGGCAATCCGAGAGACGTGGGGAGATGAGAACAACTTTAAAGGGATCAGGATAGCCACTCTGTTTCTCCTGGGCAGGAACGCCGACCCTGTCCTCAATCAGATGGTGGAACAGGAGAGCCAGATCTTCCATGACATCATCGTGGAAGACTTCATTGACTCCTACCATAACCTTACCCTCAAAACATTAATGGGGATGAGATGGGTGGCCACTTTTTGTTCAAAAGCCAAGTATGTCATGAAAACAGACAGTGACATTTTTGTAAACATGGACAACCTTATTTATAAACTATTAAAACCCTCCACCAAGCCAAGAAGAAGGTATTTTACTGGCTATGTCATCAACGGAGGACCCATCCGGGATGTCCGCAGTAAGTGGTACATGCCAAGGGATTTGTACCCTGACAGCAACTACCCGCCATTCTGTTCAGGGACTGGCTATATCTTTTCGGCTGATGTGGCTGAACTCATTTACAAGACCTCACTCCACACAAGGCTGCTGCACCTTGAAGATGTATACGTGGGACTGTGTCTCCGCAAACTGGGTATACATCCTTTTCAGAACAGTGGCTTCAATCACTGGAAAATGGCCTACAGTTTGTGTAGGTATCGCCGAGTTATCACGGTGCATCAAATCTCCCCAGAAGAAATGCACAGGATCTGGAATGACATGTCAAGCAAGAAACATCTCAGATGTTAAAATTTTTACCGATGTAAATACGTTTCTTTTCTTTTTTAAGAAATGGGGCCTAGAATGTTGATATTTTACAGGTGTCACCAGGGAAAACGTAAAGGGGTTTTTTAAAAAGGTTTTTTCTTCCTGCCCCTAGTTGCTTTCTTGTATTACCTATTTACAAATGTTCGGCTCTGGTCATAGAAACAATACATGAGTTAGAAGGGCCAGATTTCATTCTCGAGTCCTGAGGCATTGCATTTATCTCAAAAAGCCAACTTCCTGAAAACTGCTAGGATTTATATACTGTGCATCTGAGATAAAAATCTGGTTCTGGGAAACTGAAATTCAAGGAATATCTTCAAATCATCTCTGCAAAAATAAATAAATAAGAAATTACTCTTTTCCAAAAACAGTTCAGAAAGAATGCACAATCAGGAAGACACACTGGATCATTAATACTGCGTGTGCTATTATTACACTGAATTTTTACATATCTTGCCATGTAGTATGTATAGCATTTACAGTTCCATCAAGAAATGAACTTAGTACTGGCAGGGCAGCTCCAGTTGAATAGAAATTTAAACTTGGGAACCAAAATTCCATATATTTGGAAGACAGTGCTATCTGCTCATGCAAGGATCAAACCTGGTCAGCCGGTGGAAGGTATATAAAAAGCTACTTAACGAAATAAATGAGAATTTTTTTTGCTCTTTCAGAATAACCTGGTATCTCCAAGGAGACTTAGCCAAATGTAATCTCACTGCTTCCCTCCATACAATGTCATTAAATGCAGTTTACACTTTCTGGCTTAGGCGAGCGCATGTACAGTGAAGTTGGTAGGAAGGCAGAACAATAAATCACACAGAGAAGGTACAAATTAACATAAGCTGAGCCACAGTATAAGATGCCCCTCCCCACACATTTGCAAGGCACGTGAGAAATTCTTCTAACCAGTACCAATGTTATTGAATGATTTGGCCCTACAGTTGGTAGATACAATGTTCTTTAGCATCTGAAACATCCAAGTACCTCTAGCAGCAATGCTATTCGGTGGTGTTCTGAAGGCTCTGTGATTAACATTCATGGAAGGAAAGGTGGGGAAGCTTGGATTCATGTTCTGTTGATGCCATCAGTCTTGGGTCATATGAGCAGGCATCTTAACCTTGCTGTACTTCAATATGCTCATTTATCAAATGGTTAGAAAACACCTACCTCACAGGTGCTGTGAGGACACATCAAATCAGCTAAGTTAGTTTAAAAGGTGCTACATAATGCAAAAAGTATCACGCATTATGCTAAATGCTAAAATAATTACATCATTGCAATGATGGTCCTCAGTAGTCGTAACATCACCTTAATATAAAACCTGCCAAAATAAAGATAAAATCTGAACTAAGTGCACCTGACTATTCTAAGACTTTGACCCTTCCTTGGATATGTTAGATGTTTAGGGAAGCTTCAATTTCTCTGTCATTTCTTCTGGTTTCAGTGAGTAAGTTGGCACTTTGGTGTGTTGCCTTGACATCCCAGTGTGCTTATAGTGAAGGCAGCTTGCCTTTCTTTGAGGAGCCTCTGGCTGGGGTATATTATGGTAATTCAAGCACATGCTTTGCATATAGATGCATATAGAATCAAGTCAACTTAGATCTCGGGATGCATTTGATCTTGAATTCTCAGTAAGAACTTTCAGGACCAGGGGAGTGAGTCCACCTCTATCAGAAGAATAGGCACTCAGTGTACCCAGCCATCGCTCGTCTCCCACCGTTCCTTCCTTAGAAAACTTCTGTGTATTTTCATTCAAAGAAAGCCCCACAACTGAAAGAGTATACTTTATTTTTAACCCGACCTTTGGAAGTTTCCCTAGTAGTTGATAGCAAACAGACAAACAAACGGAAGTGGTGGCCTATTTCTTACAAACACTGGATTTCTTGTCCTCAGCACAAAAACCCAGTTTGAGACAGGCCTTCCTCTCCCTTACTACAGCCTTTGTAGAGCTTCTGGGGTGGATCAGAAAGCAGCAATAGTCAGCCTGAGGAGAGACAGATCAGCCTAAAGTGAACCACCCTCTGACCCCCGACCCCCAACTGCTGTGAGTTCCAGTCCCTGGAAAAGTCTTGTGATTTTGTACGTGGTTCACTTTTCAGTTGTATAACCTGATCAGGCCTGTGTCTCATGCTAACATCTTGCATTTACCTTATGCTCAATCAAGCCACCCTCAGTGTCAAGGAATTGCACATTACCAACATCGTATATGTATATCTATGAATTGTTTGTGTGTGTGTACATTATGAATAGAGCCCTAAACTTAAAAAGGAACACAGATCAGAGAATCACATGTCTTAAAGAACTATTGCCCAACTTTTTTATGCTAGGTAATGCCCATGTGACAAACATGTAAATATTCAGCAAAGACCCATATGTATATATTTTAAGGGTATTTTCTTTCCTTCTCCCCAGCTGTACATATAGCTAGAATCTGCTTGCTATGTACATTTTCTTCTGCATGGAGTTCGGTGAGGCAAGGCCATTTGTCCAGTGTTTCAATAGCCTAAAGCATGTTTGCCCTTTGTTTTTTGAATGTTCAAAAAATATTGACGTCAAGTGATCAGGAAAAAAAAAAGCTCTAACTTTCTACTTTTGTTAATTTCATAACATTGGCCAAATTATGGTTTCTAATGTCTGTTAAACCATTGTTTTATTTATTATCATTTCTCTGCCATAAAATAATGTTTCAGACAGTATTGTACAAGGAGTCATTCAGACTGTGTTTACCAAACCTGACTGTCCCCCAACTATTTTGTTCCTTATGCAACACAACAAAATGTATCAGTAAGTAACGTCTGTATTCTTCAAGTTTCTTTGTTAAATTTATTTTCAGTGGCCAGTTTGTGTGGCATTGTGTCTTTTTTATTGGAGCCAATGCCAGTTTCAGTACATGAGATTGTATTTTAAATAACCAAAATCAAGAAGTGAAGATAGCTTTCGATTTGGATTACATTCAGACGAACAAAACCCTTTTCTGTAATATGACATGGGGAAAACAAACTGTGCAGAGAAGCTAAAGAAAGAGTTTTTCAATCAAATCTCTCCTAGCAAATGACAATGGAGCATTTACTTAAAGGGTCTGGGATTCATTTTCTACCTTTCCTAGTATGTGGGGTTAGCTGGGCAGCGAGGGGTGGGGGGATTGATTATGTCATTTCTCTGTCAAAGTGCAGATAGTTTTTATGAGCCACAAAGTAACTTGTGAATGAAAGAAGTAATTTACTTGAAACGCTTGTTGATTGATGATAACTGACATTTAGGTATATCGTTGTATAGGAATGATTGTATTTATGTATTTATTTGTCAAAATTGTACATACTATTTCGCCAAATGTAATTGTCTGTAAAAGCGCACTCTCCAGGTTTGTAGTACCTTTAGGGTTACATGGGTTGCCAGTCAAGCTGCTAATCAGAATACTATTTTTTGAACCAATGTTATAAAACTGAAAAATGACAAACAGATGCTGAAGATGTCTTTACATTCAGTTTCCTCACCTTCCTCTTGAAATGTAAATTGTTGAGAGAGAAAGCACGATGCTTCTCTCAGATGTACAAGCCCATCTGTCATGAGGAAGATTGTGGTTCCATAAAGCTGATTTTTTAACCATGGGACAAATAAAAAGAAGGAGAACATATTTTCACTTTGCTTCTTTTCTGAATGAATCTCTTTGGTAAGATATGATCATTAAAATTAGCCAATGACCTGTCATTTATCATTAACCTTCTCCACAACCTCAATTTAAGTAATAGTTCAAACCCTTCAGAGTTCATCTGTAAGAGCCCAGGGCAACTTAACAGTCAACTCAGAGATGATTTCATCTGGTAGACCATGGGCTACTCCGGGAGTTAAGAAACTGATATCTCCCTTGGCCGTTGATGCCCTCAGGAAAGTCTCTGTGCTAAATTCTACAGATTGAACATGCCAACAGATGGCAATTGAGAGAGCCATTGGTAACGCCATTGATAATTGGAGAATTAGGATGTTAAATCTAAGGCAAAAGTGTCGTTCTTATGTTTCACCCACATATATCCTTCGGGATATTGCATACTATTTTAAAAATTTGATCAAACTGGAATAAGAGCTTTTCTGGCATTCTTCACAGCAGACAAGTACATGCTGATTGCTGGTGCCTAAATTTGTAAGCAAGAAACTAATAGCTATTTAAGAGACAGAAGTTCTTTTTATGATCAGTCCTGATCCAACTAAATAGGTCTTCACTTTTAATTTAACTTCAGCTTTGGAATTTTGAACTTCTTGTATCTTAGAGTTCAAAGTATAAAGTCTATCAGGTGAGAATGATGAAATATAAAATATAAAGATCCATATTCATTGTGATTTTTTTAAAAGGACCACCATCAAGAGCAATGTTCTAGGAGTGTGGTCTAGACCAGGAGCCTCAGTGTCAAATGGGAATTTGTTAGAAATGTAAGTTTGGGGTCCCACCAGACACTTGGGGGTGTGACTCAGCAACCATTCTAACAAGCCCGTTAGGGGACTTTGATGCACCCTGAAGCTAAGAACACCGATCCAGAGCAGAGTTTGGCAAACTGCGCTCTGACCCACTTCTAGCCTGCTGCCCAGGAGCTAAGGATGGTTTCATAGCGAGTATTTGCAATGACTCAGGGACAGAGGACACTGACATTGAATCCCAACAAAGCAAAATGTTATCCCAACAGTAAGAATCCACTCTTCTCATTAACAGATGTGTTTTGCAAAAAGAAAAAAAAATTGTACTCAATTACTATCATATTTTAAATTCCATCAATATAAAACTATAGAAATTTGTTTCTTATTGTGTAAGTACTTTAATGCATCTTCAACTTTGTCTCTTAACCTGCAAAACTTTAAATATTTATTATCTTGTCCTTTATAGGAAAAGTTTGCTAACTGACTTAGAGAAGCAAGGAAACATCTGAAAATGGTACTACATACAAAATGCCTCCCACTGTAAATGAAAAGTCACATTAATAAAGAATACTGGCATCGTCTCCATGCAGCCAGGGAAATGACAATGTAGTCATGGTAATAAATTGCATTAAAAACCAACAGCTGCTTATACTTTTTAAATATTTCCTTTTTTCTGAATGATTTTTAAAAATTATAAAAGCTTGATTCTAATTGTAACAATTACCCAAATTTTAATTAATCTATTGCTTAAAGACGTATGAGTATTAGACCTAAGAGGGTGGGTTTCATATAGCTTGATTATCATAATTACAAGTATTCTATTTTCTCATTTACTTAATTGATTGTCATAGCTTTTCAGACGAATTCATGCTGTTGGAAGAGAATTGAATACATGTCTGAGAGAAAAAAAGAAACAAAGAAATGGAGCTCTTTAGAAGAGCAATGTGTCCCAAAATATAATGCACATGAGGATGAAAAATTGCCCTCGATGATATCTCCTTACCTCTTTGCTGGTTAAAATAGGCATTTTTGTGACATGAAAAAGAAATGAATGAAAAAATATTGTATTAATTGAATTCCGTCTGTAATAACACTGGCTCCAATGTCTCTTCAGCCGGAGGGGCGCTCGAGAAAAATTTTCCATTTAGTTTTCTTTATAGAATCTATTAGTTTGGTACATTATGTTGACTATTTGTTTTGCCTCTCACGATGACTTCAGCCCTCACCTGGAGGAAGCATGGCATGAGAGGTGATTTATTCTGTCTCTGAGGTTTATTCCAGAGCGTTTACTCAGCAGTGGCTGCCTGGTACGGCAGGCTGGGCAGAGTTAGGGGACAAGGATGACTTCACCAGGCATGAGGTAAGGGGAAAACAGCATCAGAGACCTTCTCCCACTGCAAAGCCTTGCATTTTCAGCACCCATTTTTCTGGCTTATTGTTGTTTCTGTTGTTGAATCCTAACAATGACCCCATGACCTTGTGCTGCTATCTTACTTGACAGATGAGGAAACTGAGGCAATGGAATTAACTTGTTTTCAGGTTAGAACCCCCCCCACTTTCTTATTGAGTTATAATGTACATACTTTAAAATTCATCATCTTTAAGTATGCAGTTCCCTAAGTTTTGACAAATGCATAATTCAGGTAACCACCACCATAATCAAAATACAGAACAGCTCTATCACCTTCCCAAAATTCCTTCAAGCTCCTTTATAATCAAACCCCTTCTCCAGCCTCTGGCAATCAGTGATCTCTTTCCCAAATCCTATCTACATGAGATTTTCATTTTATTCATATTTATCATCTATAATGTTTAACATTTAGAAAAAGAGTCTTGGTACCAAATTCGTACCCAAAAAAGGAACAATCTAGAAAAAAAAAAAGAATAGAAAAAGTCAAAAAATCTTAAAAAAATATTTAAACATAAAAGTATAGGTAAAAGATTCAGGAATTTTAAACTCAACCACCACTGATTCAATATATATAAATCTAATGAATATTAATAAGAGGGCACAAGTCAAAAGTCTATAACCCCACTCCCTCAGAGTCTAGCCCAGCTCGCCAGGGACTTGAATAGAGCTGCTGTCCTTCAGAGCTCACACACACCTTCCTGTCGAGTAGAAGGAACGATCCATAAGGTCAGTTATGTAATTTTCCCTCTTGGAAGCGAAGGGTCCCTGGAGAGGCCTCCATCGCTTGTTCGCTCATTACAAAGGCAAGCCCCCGCCGCTGGGGGATTCCTCTCCACACCTGCTCAGCCCACCCTCAGACGAGCTCCGCCTCTCTCCCTCCCTGTGCTTCCTTTCTTCTGGGTTCTTCCCCTATGCTAGTAAACATTTCCTTTAGGAAAATATAACTTCACAACCACAAGCTTGTCTTCAAACTGTATCGACAGAAGTTAAGTTCACTTGGAAAGCATGCGTGCCATTGGTAACAATGCGCCCCTCCGACCTAAAGGCAGTCAGGCTGCAGGCGGCATGACTGTGTGGGCAGAGCAGGGGCTGGAGCAGGGAGGGCGGCATGAGGGGCACATACACTCTACAGCAACGTGTCTCGGGTTGTAACGTGTAACCTGGGAATCTTGTGAAAATACAGATGAGTAGTTCAGGGTACAACCCAAGGTTCTGATTTTCTTAGAAGCTCCCAGCCAATGCTGACCGCTGCTTGTACATGGATCATTCTTAGTAGTGAGACTCCAGTTTCCAAGCCTAGATTCTGGGCAGAGATACTAGCATTTGTTAAGCATCGATCAGAGACCAGAGACCATACCACGGGCTTTTGCAAGGTTTCATCTTCCCACCAACTACCAAACTCTTAACAAGCCTAACGTAGGAATACTAAATAGCAATATCTGGCCAAGCCGCAGTATCTGGCCGTACTCTGTCTGGTACCAGAGCATGGAGACAACAGGAACAGAATGAAAGCAGCAGGGAGAGAAACACAAATATACATCATCTGTCAACAAATGGTGACCCCACATAGGCAGAAATGTGGCCTAATCAGTGTCATAGACTATGACCATTTCCATCAGTAATCTAACCTCTTGAGGAAGAATAATGATTAGGGTTGGAGAAAGAAAGCTTTTTTTGGCATGAAATCAGAATCTGTGTGGTACCTCCCAAGTAAACAATCCAGTGTTTATTATTGTCACCATTCGGGGGTTGAGGAATCTAGTAGTTAGAGAAGTTAAGTGGCTTTTCCAGTGTCAAAAATTGATAACTGGAAAGATAATATTCAAACGCCAAGTCTTTTGACTGGAGTCAAAATGCTGTTTTCCATTTATCTTACTGCTCTCAACTCCATCTGCAATTCTGGCAACAAAGTAGGGGAAAACCCCGGCTTTAAAGGTTGGAATTAGCAACGTATCCAAAGCCAAACAGACGGGGCTTGAGGTGATAGATGAGTCTGGAAAGGCCACCTAGAAGCAGAGATCCAGAGTCCAGACATGCAGCCCACAGAATGTGCAGAGAGCCGCAACAACCGCCTCGGGATCTAGGAGAGCGTCAAGGAGGCAGGAGCAGGACATCCGTCAGGATTACTGAATATTAAATGGCAACAGAGAACCAGGTTTTTCAGGCAGCAGCTCTCGTCCAGAAATACTTGTAATTGCCATGAGCTGGGCTGGTTCCAGGACCCCCAGAGCGAAGGCTGTACCTCTACTTTGAATCTAGAAGTAACCTTGATGAAATGTAGCCACAAATAAAATGTTTTTCAACAAGAACACAAAACACTTTGCAAGGGCTTTGTATGCGCTTTTTTATTTCCAAGGCAAACCGAGGGAGGAGAAAGTGACTCTGAAATAAAAAAGGAGATGTCAGCAAAAGAGAGAGTGAGAACTTCACAAGGAGACAAGGAACTAGGAGCGGGAGGAGAGGAATAGAACAGGCAGGAGCGACTCCGGGCGAGACGGAAGTGAGGGAAGATTCGCGCCTCTTACCCGGTAATGTTCATCAATGTTTCTTCCCTTTTGCCATCGTGCAAAGTACCTAAGGATTTCAGTCCACTTTTCATCAATTTTCCTCCAGCTAGAAAAGTTAAAAAAGAGGGGGAAAGGGGGAATGGATAGGGATTCTCCAGAGGCGGTTGTCAATCTGTGCTTTTTTCTAAGGTAAGAAGTTTGTAAATGTAAACCTTTAAAGGTAAATGTAAAATTTACATTTTCTTGTGTATCAGCATGATTTTTTGTGTGTGATTTGCTTGGCTTGTTTTTTGCTTTATAATTATTCTC